TTCACTTGGAGCAGCTGGTTCTCCCTCACTGGCCCTCGCCCCAAGCTGCACAGGGTTATCAGGAGAAAGCACCTTTCCTTAATGACACCCAGAGTTGGGTGTATTCTGTATCAAGCATGTTTTGGGGATGCTGCTTAGTGCTGCTCACACAGAACGTGTTTTCAGGGGGGCCGCAACCCTGTTTCCTCCGTGTGCTGTCACTGGGAGCAGGAGTGCAGCCTGGGGAGTCCAGGGCCGGGAGCACTCCGAGTCTCCTGCGCGGAGAGCATTTCCACCTGGAGATTCTGACTCCGGTCCTACGATGCGAAAATTTTTCATTCAATATGACTTCTAAAGCCTGTGCCACAAGTGCCACGAGTGACCCCGCTCACCTCACTGGCCAGCGTGAGTCTAGCTGCTTCGTCTAGGCTCAGGAGGGCAGAGAAATGAGACCTAGCGGTGGGCACAGCCCGAGGCAAACAGACACTTGGGTGTCTCCTTTGCACCTCAGGTGACCTTAGAACTCACGGAGCAAAGGTCAGATTTGGACCCCAGCTGGTGTGGCTCAGTTGGTTGGGAGTCATCCCATGAACCGAGAGGTTAGGCGTTCGATTCGCCATCAGGGCACGTGCCCAGTTTGCAGGCTCTATCCCCGGCCCCGGAAGGGGAGCATGAGGGAGGCAAAGCCAACAGCATGCGTTTCTATCACCTCCTCCCTCCATTGTTTGTTTTTGGGGATTCTTTGGATATAAGCACATGTAAATATTCTGTTGGCTTTACCTTTGTTTTAAGATATTAGACTCTGAAAAATAATGTTTCAAGGTAAATCTCTAGTTTATCTATTTTTTAAGGATTTGTTATTGATTTTTAGAGAGGAAAGGGAGAGAGAGAGAGAGAAACATCGATGTGAGAATGGAACATAAATCCTGCAAGCCCCCTATCTGGGATTGAGCCTGAAACTGGCATATTCTCTAACCAGGAATTGAACTGGCAACCTTTCATTGCACAGGATGATGATCAACCAACTCAGCCACAATAGCTTATCTATCTATGTATATAAAAGGCTAACATGCTAAGTGTTTGTCCAACCGGTAGCTATGACACACACTGACCACCAGGGGGCAGACACTCAACGCAGGAGCTGCCAAGCTGCAGTGACTTGGCAGCGGTGGTTCTTGGGTGACGCACCCCAAAACTAGAGAGAAGGGAACCCGATTCCTCACGGGGCCGTGTAATTCTACCTTTGGCCGTGGGTTATATTGCTGCTGGGGCACTGTCGGCCCCGAGTCTGGTTTACTGCACACTTGGATTTGTGTTTCACACCCTGTATGACAGCAACTTTGCAGAATGCCCTCTCGCACTCTGGGACCCCTTGGGGGATGTCTGAGAGCTGGTTTCAGCCCGATACCCGCAGGCCAGGCCAAGGGATCCCACCTGCCAGAGGACCCCCCCCCCCCCCCAGCTCACTCTGCAGACACCCTTTGAGCCACGGCATCATCCCGGGTGCAGCCGGCTGGGGAGAGACTGTGGGAAGTTGGCTCCAGGGCGTGTCCAGCCCATCTGGCCCAGTCTCGCCCCACTGGCCACCTTCTAATTTCCTTTCAGTGTGCACGAATCTGTGCACCAGGTCACTAGTTTTTTAAAAAATGTAGTTTTATTGAACTTGAGAGTTTAGTTAGACTATAGGCTTCTGATGAAAAATACCCTTTTCCTTCTCATCCCTTTACCTCCTGTGAAGCCTCAGTATTTATTTTAGAGGTGGGATCTTTTTGTTTGTTTATAAAGTTGTTGTGTCCTAAGATGGTCCGGGGCCAGCGGCTCTGACTCACGGGCAGAGTGCAGTTGGCATTGCCCGAGTCTGCTACTTCCTCCAGGCAGCCTACTGTGCTTAGGCACAGAGGGCTGAAGACAGCAGAGAGGGAGACAGACCTGCTCCCTCTGAGTGGCCGGCCGCCTAAGTCAGACCATTAGGCAGGCAGTTGCTGGAACAGCATTGTAAGTCGGTGGCAGGCGTGCACGTGGACCCCAGTGGAGGAGAAACTGAATGTGGGAGGGGACCATTCTGCCTCCACGAGGGGCGCCGAGCTGGTTTCGTGTGAGGAAATCAGCAGGGGGTGGGAAGGAAGGCCTTTCGGGCAGAGGGCCAGCGAGGGTCAGCTGAGGCCGCAGGGGCTGTGTTGTTAGGGTGTGAAGCTGAAGCGGCAGGAGGTGTGCTGTGGAGGCCTTCGAGTGGCTGGTTTAAGGAGTGTGGACTTCACCCTGTCGGCTTCGGTAAATATTTGTGTGAGTACGTCCGCCATTGTGACAGACACGCAGTATCTGAGTCACGAGGACCCACCCGGCCATGGTGCTTGGCGCCCGGATGGTCGGCGTTGACCGCTCACACCCCGTAAGCACACACCAGGGGTACGTTAGCACAGACAGGGCCCGGGTCCTGTTTGGGGACACACAGCCCTGGAGCCAGCAGGGCCTGTGTCCCAGCCGAGAGGTCCCCACCCATCTCTTCCGGCACCACCTGGCTGTGAGGGGCAGTTCAGACCCCGCCTCTCCCCGGACAGAGGGCCAGGGGAATCCAGGGAGCAGTCTTCCCAGGGACGGAGGTGGCCTCGCCCCACGTGGAATGCGTGTGCCTGCTCTGTGTAGACGGGGCCTCCCCAGGGAAGCACACGCCTCACCGTGCACAGGTGCTCGCGTGTGGCCTGACAGTCACTTGGAGGGAGCCAGCTTTCCCTGGCTCTCAAGCCCGGAGCCTGCCTCATCCCAGCATTGGGGGCATCCCCGGCATCGTGTGCTGGAGCCTGGCTGGTGACCCAGGCCCTCGTCCAGTCGCTCTGTTCTCCTGTTCTGTCTCGTCTCTCACAGCCACCTGGGCCTGCTGGTGTCTGCCATGGTCATCATCACCTTCTTCCTCGTGCGTTTCTCTTGTTTTCCAGGCTCTTCAGAGCAACCTGAAGTATTCCCTGTTGCCACGACGGCTCCTCATCAGCAAGAGACTGGCTCAGTGCCTGCACCCTGCCCTGCCCAGTGGGGTGCACCTGAAGGCCCTGGAAACCTATGAGATCATCTTTAAAATTGTGGGCACCAAATGGCTGGCCAAGGATTTGTTCCTGTACAGGTACGCCGGCTTCCCCAGGGCCCTTATCATCCAGGTGACCGTGTTCCCTTCACAAGATCAGTGAGTGACAAACTGCAGAGCTCAGGGGTGTGCAGTGGTCACCAGGAGACGAGGGCTCACCTCCCAGAGCCCGTCCTCCAGGCGTCTCTCTAAGGGTGTGGGTGCGTGCTGGCCCGTGGCCCCCTCGGTGCTGGCAGTGCGTCCTGACATCTCAGGACAGGCAGGGGTCTGCATCTCCAGCTTGGACGCCGGCGGCCCATCTGGAACTCCTGGGTGGGTCTCACTCACCCTCTCGCCTCTTCTCCCCCAAGCTGTGGGCTGTTCCCGCTCCTGGCGCACGCGGCCATGTCGGTGCGGCCCGTGCTGCTGGGCCTGTATGAGAAGTACTTCCTGCCACTGCAGAGGCTGCTCCTGCCCAGTCTCCAGGGCCTTCGTCATCGGCCTGCTGCCCGGCCTGGAGGAGGGCTCGGAGATCTACGACAGGTGGGTCTCAGCGCACCGCGGCTTCCGCCCGTCCAGGCTGTCATGGGGCAAAGCCGTTTGGCGTCTTGTGGGAGAATCTGGGGGAAAGTGCAGAGATGCACGGAGCAGGCCAGGTGTGAAGTGGGGCCAACCGTGCACATATCTGATCTGGTCTCTGCTGACCCAAGTACCGTGTCTCCTGGGAACACCTCTTTTCGGGTGGGGAGGAAGGCAAGGTTTCCGGGTCTCTCAATCCGAGTGACAGTGATGGGGTTCTGACCCACGAATAGCAGATCCGAGTCCTTCCTGCCGCACTAGGCTGCTTGCCAATAAGAAAGCCAGGCCAGGTCTCCTTGCTGGGCAGGGCGTGAAAAGGTGATGCTTAGCAGGCTGGCTGGACGCTTTCAGTAGCACTTGGAGAAATTTGTGAAGCTGACACGGCAGGCGGTTCCATCCCTGCTTAGGTGGGGGAGAGCAGACACCCATTCAGACTGCGGAGTGTACACGGTGTCCTGCTTCTCTGGAGAACTGATGGGAGGCTTTCCCACATGAATAGAGCAGGCAGCCTCTGCTCATGTGATCGCTTTCAGGGCCCACGTGCAGCCCGACCGGGAGGCCTAGAAACCTCTGGCTCCAACAGTTTTCATGTGATTACACACCCACCACTCGTTCCACGCCAGTCCCTAGTCACCCCACCTTTGCCTTGGTGTTGGGGCTGCCCTGGGAGGGTGGGGCGTGCAGGGGTGGAATCAAGGAATTGATCCAGGGTCTGCTAGCCAAGGGAACCAAGTAATCAATGACGTGAGGGCGGGTGCTAGTGCCCAAGGGTGATTTGAGTCACCAGGATCTGTGTGGGATTTGACAGCCCACCAGGAATGTAGCCTGACCGTTTCCGGCTGTCACATGGAGTGGGCGGGTGCAGCTCTCCGTTCTGGGGGAGAATCACGTGTACTGTGGGTGGGGTCACTTGGATCCTCTGCCTTAGGAGGCAGTCTGGCTCCCTGCCATTTCAAAGCCTGACCACCATGCCTGGTGCCGGCCCATGGTGAGGTGAAAGGTCAAGGTCACAGAGGGGTCAGCGAGAGGACCTTTACCAGACTCTGTCTCTTGACTCCTAGACCCAGGCTCTTCCTAGAGGTTCTGGCTCATTCATGTTGACTAACCAGGTGCATGTATGTTTGTGTGTGTGCAAATGCTTTTTCCATTATCTGACAGATGAACACCAGTTCCCAAAATGGCCTGCATTTAAAAAAATCTGTCAGAGTGAATGACAGAAGGGTGTCAATAGTTGGGGTGTTTCTGTGTGTTCTCTTAGTTGAGAAATGGGGGTTCACTATTTTTTCCTTACACTGTGGTTTCTTGACATTGAACCCAGAGCGACTAAAGCTGCATGGGTCACTGAGTAGATGGGCTGGGACAGGAAGCCACGCCCAGTGTCTGCAGCCCCAGAAGTTGTTCAGTGCCAGTTCTCCGAGGGAGATGCTGGGCGAGGGTTCTAGAATCTCTGACCGGACGTCTGGGTACAGTAATTGAGGCGATCGCACAAGATGTTTTTGTCACTGTATCCCGTCTGTTTGAGAGAGTTTGGCAGCTGTTTCTTCAAAGTTCTCCGGAATTGAGCCGACACCACCAGCAAGCACTGTGCAAGGACATGAGCGGGGTGTGGTGGGTCACGGTGTCATGTTGGCGGAAATGCAAGGGGTGAGGTAGGCTGGGGCTCAAGCAGGTGGGTGACCCACAGTGTCTGTTGCTGGTTTGTGCTGCTTAGAGAACCGGAGGAATGGGGATTTGGGCCAGTGTTAGGCCTTAGTGTTCACGCTGGCTTTCTAACCCCTGATGCCTGCACACTGCTCCTGGCCAGATTCCTTTGTTAAGATCCTGTGCAGTAGCTGCATAGCTGCAGTGACCTAGTGCTGCGGTGACCTTGACCTGGTGTTGCAGTGACCTTGACCCTGGTGCTGCGGTGACCTGGGTGCTGCAGTGACCTTGACCCTGGTGCTGCGGTGACCTGGGTGCTGCAGTGACCTTGACCCTGGTGCTCTGGTGACCTGGGTGCTGCGGTGACCTGGGTGCTGCGGTGACCTCGGTGCTGCGGTGACCTGGGTGCTGTGGTGACCTGGGTGCTGCGGTGACCTGGGTGCTGCGGTGACCTGGGTGCTGCGGTGACCTGGGTGCTGCGGTGACCTGGGTGCTGCGGCGACCTGGGTGCTGCGGCGACCTGGGTGCTGTGGCGACCTGGGTGCTGTGGCGACCTGGGTGCTGCGGTGACCTGGGTGCTGTGGCGACCTCGGTGCTGCGGTGACCTCGGTGCTGCGGTGACCTCGGTGCTGCAGTGACCTCGGTGCTGTGGCGACCTCGGTGCTGCAGTGACCTGGGTGCTGCGGTGACCTCGGTGCTGCGGTGACCTGGGTGCTGCGGTGACCTGGGTGCTGCGGTGACCTCGGTGCTGTGGCGACATGGCCTGTCACATGCTGCCTGTAGGCCAGGAAGCTGTAGCTCCCAGGGTGTGTGTGTTTATCAGATTCAGTGACAGTGGCAGGTGAACAAACACAGAAAGACGAGAGAGCAACAGCTCAGATAGTGCTTTCCATGGCCAGGGAGAGCGAGCGGGGCTCTTCCTGGCGCAGCACAGTGAGACATGGGCACATGGGGAAGGAGCCCTGAAACTCTGTAATCTCTTGTCCACAGAACAGACGCTCTGCTCCTGAGACTGTCCCTGGTGGTCGGCAAAGAGGTGTTCTATGCTGCCCTCTGGGGGAGTGTGCTGGCCAGCCCGGCCATCCGCCTGCCCGCCTCGCTCTTTGTGGTGGGCCACATCAGCAGGGACTCGCCGGGCAAGGAGCAGAAGCACATGCTGGGGACGGATCACCAGCTCACGGTGGGTGCTGGCTTCTCCCTGGGGGTGGCGGCCGCTGGGCACGCAGTCCTGGGCTGTCACTGGGGCCACAGAGGGACGTCAGTGGAGTCCGAGTGTGTGTGAAGATGAGCAGCTGAGCCAGACGAGGTGGGGGTGTCCTCAGGTGCAAAGAACCCCAGGATGGCGGTGCTTGTTTTTAACACATGCATTGCAGTGTGTATATTCGGACGCGTGTTGTTCACAGGCGAGGGGCCCTGCAGGAGGCCCTGCTCTTCAGCAGATTGTTAGTGGTGAAGTTCCTGAGAGCCTTGCACAGACTCTGCTGCTTTATAAAACCCTGCTCGCTCCTCTTCCTGTGTCCCACTGCCCACTGCCCGCACGGGAGGCTCCTCCTCTGGCCGCCGCCTGGGTCCCACCCCAGCCACATCTCTGGCTGCTCTCTAACCTAGACTGTCGGGGTTCCTCTGGTGCCCATCCCCTCCCCTTCGAGGACAGCTCTCTTCCCTGGCTGGGACATGCCTTCTCGTGACCTTAAAACACAGGAACTTCCAGGGCTTGGCCTCTTTTCCCAAACGCACCTGAGTGTTTAATGGCCTGCTGTCTAGCGCCACCTAGTGGTGCCCCCACGCTTGGAACTGAAAACGTTGGAAATGGAATTCAGCTGTGAGAAAGGCAGCACCTTGATGTGAATTACTTACCCTGAGCCCCTTCCTCTTTGCAGCCTGGGGATAATAGGTCTTCCTCACGGGCCCTCTGAGGGTTCAGTGAAGAGACTGGTGACGCCCTGCACTGTGGAGAGCCTCATAAATACGTCCCCTTCTCTCCTGCCCATTGGTACCGCTTCTGTCTGTCTCTCTCCATGTTCACGGTCCTGCTCCAACTTCCGCAGTCTTGCTTCCGGACCACAGCATAACTTCTAACTGGTGTTTCTCCTTCCCATTCCCTACCCTTCCCCTCCCTTTCCATTACTAAGAGGTTTGCATAGCTTTGCTCATGTCTACACTGTGTGAAAAATATCTGGCTTCTGTTGCCCAAAGTCTAAACTCTAGAGTGTTCTTAACAGTCTGCTCCCAACCCACCAAATGCCTCACTCTCCCCTTCCGCCCCCCCTCCCCCACTCCCAGAGCCACCGCCCAGCCCAGCTTGGAAACTGGATGGGATGCTGTGTTTGCTCCCGGGGTCCCCTCCTGCACTCGCTGCCCGCCCCTCTTCTCCAGGGGTCTCCATGGAGATGCTTCCTATCCTGGGAGCTTCCCGTGAGCTTTCCCACAAAGCTTCCTGGTTTTTCCAGAATACAGGTCTCTGCCTCTCTTCTGCTGAATTCTCCTAGCTTTTTATTGACATTTGTCTTATACTCTGATCATCCACTCTGCAACCATGCTATACCTTCTGTGCTCAGAAAAGATGCTCAGAACAGGTGCTGAATGGGTGTGGAGTCCATTGGACACAATGTCTTTGGAGTTTGAGTTTAGCCAAAAGTGTCTATTGGAACCTAAAGACATTCCTTTCTGGAATCATAGAATTCGAGGTCTCAGAACCTGACCATGTGGTCCAAAGCCCTCTGGCTCTGAGACGAGCAGGCGAGGGCTGCAGTTGACCGGCCTCCCGACCTCACAGCCCCCAGCGTCTAGAGCTCGAACCCAGGCTTCCCATGTCTACACCTGTTGTTCTGCCCCTCATGCTTTAACAGGGCAGCTTCGAGTTCCCGGGAAAGTTACTTTCCTTTCTGTGACCAAAGAGTAGCCTGCAAATGACATTAAACGTCTTGGGAATGAAACGTCTGTGTCGTGTATCGTTTGTAGGTGAAGGCTTTGTGCGCATCACTGTTGGACTCCAATGTTCTGGTGCAAAGAAATACTCTGGAAATCGTTCTCTTCTTCTTCCCACTGTACACCTGTCTGGTGAGTCGGTGTTATGAGGGAGGGGTCCCTGGTATTTCCGAGGAGGCGGTGGGCAGGGTCAACCTCAGTGTTGGTCTCGGAAGGTGAGCAGCTGCTCCGTGATCGCCATTGGCTCTCAGCCTCTGAAAGGTCCTTGTTCACATTTGTGAGGATGCTGATCACGTAGCAGCTGCTGTCCCCGGGCTCCTGGAGACCTGCCTTTTAGGAGGATGCTCTGGAGACCAGTGAGGAAGGGCCGCGTGCCAGGAGGTCAGTCACTGACCTGACCGTCTCCCTGTCCTGCTAGGATTCCGAGGAGAGAGCCATCCCCCTGCTCAGACCCGACGTCGTGCGCATCCTGGCCGCCGCTGCCCAGACCCTGCTGCGGAGAGACATGTCTCTAAACAGACGGCTGTACGCGTGGCTGCTAGGTACTGCGACGCACACAGCAACCGGAAGTACAGGGAAACCTCCTGGGCGGACTGGTGGCAGAGACTCCATCTGCTGGCACATGTCTGAGGCCTCCCGTGTGGAGACATAACCCGGTGCCTGTGGCCCTGGGCGCCTGGGTCCTGCCGTCCCCACCGCACTCTGCCTGGTTGGCAGCTGTTACTTTAAAAACAGGGAGATAACACAGATTTTAAAAATTCGAACCGAATCCCACTTTAAAAAGCTTGGAATACCACGAAAACTGCTGCTAAACCTTATCCAAGTAGAGGCCAGTTGCTATGGAGAAGTTCCATAGGGCGAGGCTATGAGAAAACCCACAGACGTGGACTGCGTGTGAAAGGCGGTTCCGCGCAGATGGGAGTGCGTGTGGCCTGAGATGTTCGGGAGACGCCTGGATAACGGAGCGCGTGCGCACCCAGGGCGGTGCTGCTGTGCCTCGCAGCCTGTGAGCTGTAGGAAAGGAGCCCTTGACTGTTGCCGGCAGTTCACAGGGACGGGCTCCAGGAAGTCACAGGCTGAGACTCTCATGATTTTAAAGACTTCATTTTTCTTGAGCAGTTTTAGGCTCCCAGCAAAATTAGGAGGAAGGGACAGAGGCTTCCCATCACCCCCTGTTCCCACCCAGGCACCACCTCCCCATCATCAGTGTGCCCCCAGGGAGGTACATCTGTCACCGTTGATGAGCCTATGGTGGCATGTGTCATCTCCCAGAGTCCGTAGCACCTAATGGGTATTAGGGCTTGCTTTTGGTGTAGTAACATTCGGTGGGTTTGGACAAATATCTGATGACATGTATCCACCAACATGGTATCATACAGAGTAGTTATTAACCCCCAACACATAGACCAGTGATGGCGAACCTATGACACGCGTGTCAACTCATTTTTTTGGTTGATTTTTCTTTGTTAAATGGCATTTAAATATATAAAATAAATATAAAAAATATAAGTCTTTGTTTTACTATGGTTGCAAATATCAAAAAATTTCTATATGTAACACGGCACCAGAGTTAAGTTAGGGCTTTTCAAAATGCTGACACGCCGAGCTCAAAAGGTTCGCCATCACTGACATAGACCTTACCACACCACAGTCAGAAAGCCCCCGACCCTTCCTTCCCTCTCCCCTGGTTGTGAAAGTCTCAGAAGTCATTGCATGGAAGCTTGTGAGAGATTTCACTGTGAATCTTTTTTTAAAAAAAATATATTTTATTGATTTTTTACAGAGAGGAAGAGAGAGGGACAGAGAGTTAGAAACATCAACGAGAGAGAAACATTGATCAGCTGCCTCCTGCACATCTCCTACTGGAGATGTGACCACACCACAGTCAGAAAGCCCCCTGACCCTTCCTTCCCTCCCCCCTGGTTGTGAAAGTCTCAGAAGTCATTGCGTGGAAGCTTGTGAAGGATTTCACTGTGAATCTTTAAGCATTTTTATCAAAAGGATGGTTTTGTTCAGTGCATCCCTCCCTCTAGTGAGGCTGGTCCCGCTGTGTCCTGCCGCAGCCCCAGGAGCCTCAGGTTCTTTGATTGTCCCACGAGGACGCTGCTCCTCGCTCTGCGGACCTCCCAGACCTGCCCAGGGTTCAGAAGGACACACAGATGAGAATGCCTTGATGTCACGTGATGGTGTCCAAATAAACACTGGTTTTAAAAAATGATACTTACTCCATTAGACCCTGGTAATCACTCCTGGCAAACACAATCGGGCTGAATTCGTGGGACAAACCGAATTGATGCCCATTGAGATGTAATTCTGTCTGTCCGACCCTTAGCTCTCCACCGTCGGGAGGACGGTCGTGTGCCTTGTCTTGGGGATCTGGTTTGTGTTCTGTCGGAGGAATTTTATTTTTAGAAATATCGTAGCATGAGACCTTTGCACAGGCTGATGCTCTTTGTGTGCAGATCTCTTCACAGCTCATGACACTTGTTTCTTCACAGGTTCAGACATCAAAGGAAATACCGTCATGCCAGAATCCGAAACCTCAAGTTCTTACCAAGACCAGTCCTCGTATTTTTTTGAAAAATATTCCAAGGACCTTCTAGTTGAGGTAAAGGAGCATTTCTGGGAAGTCGACTCCCATTTCTGATCATGCGCTTCAGAATATTTCTCTGCGGGACCTCAGAGTAGGCGTCGGGCATGTTGCTGGCACCCGGTCGGGAGCATTTGTGTCCTCGGTGCTGCACACCCCGTTTTCTTTCTGTCCCAGAGAACCGCCAGTCATGTCCTGCGCCACGGTATACAGTATCCTCACATGTGGCTTTAAAAAACACAGGGTCTGGCTGAGCTGCTGCACCAGGAGTTCTCAGACGCGGATGCAGAGGAACGCCACGCCGCGTACCTGAGGCCCTTCCGCATCCTCACCAGCCTGCTGGACAAGCCGGAAATAGGTACTGTTAGAAACGGGAATTAAACGCGGCGAGAGGAAGTCAGCACTCCCTTCAAATAGAAGTTAACCTTTGGAATTTCAGAATCTTGAAGTACGTTACTCGTGTTACGGGGTTCCGGTATCCTGTCTGGGCACCACTTACAAGCTTCACACGGAGGTTTGAACATTTGTGTTAGGAAGAGCCTTTGAGCTCCTGTTTGCGTGGCCGCGTGGGTGCCTGCCGAGCACTCACAGCGCCGACTTTGTAAGAACACGTCTTCATCAAACGTCAGACTTCAGATGAGCTTCGGTTTTATTTTCAAGAAAGGGGCTGGCCAGCAGGGCTCAGTGGTTGAGCATCGACCTATGAACCAGGAGGTCAGGGTTCTATTTCGGTCAGGGCACATGACTGGGTTGCGGGCTCGATCCCCAGTAGGGCACATGCAGGAGGCAGCCCATCAATGATTCTCTCAATTGATATTTCTCTCTCTTCCTCTCCCTCTCTGAAATCAATAAAAAAAATAAAACATTGCGCATACTTAACCAATGTCACCAAATAAATTCAGTAAAAAATTTTAACAATACAAGAGAGCTCAGGACAAGGAAAACAAAACAAAACATTATGCATGCGCCCTGCTCCACCCAGCAGAATCTGGCTTGATGTTACCTGAACTCCGCCTCCATCCTCTTACCTGTAATCAGGACATCAACTTAGCACCTGGTCATGCGGCTGCTGTGAGGATTCAATAAGTTAATAGACGTAAAAGGCTTAGAGCAGTGTCCAGCAGGCAGTAAGCTCTACAAAAGTATTGGCCATTTTCAGGGGTGCTCATCCCCAGCTAACGCTGTCATTGCTACACTTTAAGTTTCTGAGCATTTTAGACGGTATAAATCATCTGTATGTAGAATTACTCTATACCAAGCATGTCAGACTCACGGCCGGAGCCGCATGCCACGAGTTTGACATGCTTGCTCTATACGTTTCATGTGTGTCATTTACTGACTTACAAATGGGTTGTTAACCTTTCTCTGGCCATTTTCCTTTTCATTGCAGGGCCTCAGGTGGTTGGGGATTTGTTTCTCGAAGTCATCCGGGCCTTTTATTCCTACTGCAGAGACGCGCTGGGCTCCGAGCTCCAGCTTAGCTACACGCAGAGCGGGAGTCTGCTGACCAGGTCTGGGCTGGGCCCACTTCACCCTCCTCCTCCCTCCCACATGCCATGATTTCACTTCTGTGTTTACCATACATTGTGCACATCTGGGACAGGAGACGCAGCCTAGGTCATCGTAACGATGAGTCGGTCCACGTGAAGTGACTGACCTGAATTCGGGAGGAGTCTAAAGGGGGTTTCATCTTGTCCCTGCCCGAGCCTGGGAAGCACAGACCGTATTTATTGGTCAAGTATGAAGAGCGGTCAATGGAGGCAGGCGGATCTAGGTGACCCAGCAGTGACTTACAGGGGGGAGGCTGATAAGGGGAGGCCATGAAGGGGAGCCGGGGACGTGAGTCTTCAGGAGATGAGGAGTTTTGGGGGTCAAGGTACGGGCTTCCCAGGCCACGTGCTCCAGGACCCTGAGGGCGGGGGGAGGGGAGGATTTGGGAGACAGCAGACATGTTGACCTGAAGTGTCTAGTTATCTATCAGCCCTATGTTCTGTTTTTCTTCTTCTTTTTCTTCTGTTTTTGTTCTTTTTAAGATAATTCAACCTCTTGTTACTTTACTCTTGATATAATTTCCTTCTGCCTGAATTGGCACTGGGTATATTGAAAATTTAAATCGATTGGAAGATTTTTCTGGTTTTTTAATTGTCATTGTACCAAGAATTCTTAGCGTTTGCTTTGTTTTTCTGAATATGAAAACAGTACATGCCCATTGTAGAATATAACAGTACTCGAAGATATTGAACCGTGATCTCCTGGTTCCTAGGCCAATGATCAACCACTGAGGCGCTTTTCAGTATTTTTAATGACCTTGCCGTGTATCCCGTGTGCAAATCTTTGTGTGGGGTAAATCCCTAGAGTCACTTTCTGAGTCAGAAGATGCACATTTAAGTGTCAGCCAGATGTCCCCCCTGTGTGATTGTGCCATGTTATTTCAACAGTAGAGTATCTAATTGCCTACAGTGGGACTAAAACTGGTTTTCTACATCCCCCTTTTTTTTTTACGAAAGCTCTTAAGCTTATCTCTAAGAGAATGTGCCGACATAGTGAGTGTTTAGGGTGGCATTGTACATGCTCTTTCCTATAGAAGAACAATGAGTAGCATTTTTATCTTAAACCACGTTTGTCGGTCTCTAGAAATAAGTTGTGAATGCTAAAGTGAATTTGTTTTCCAGACATGGTGTTGTCATAGATATATTTACAAGTATCCCTCTCCCTTTACAGCACAATAAAAGAAAACAGAAATGCCTCTGAGATTGTTAAAACGGTGAATTTGCTGATCACTTCCCTCAGCACAGACTTTCTCTGGGACTACATGACGAGGTGTTTTGAGGATTGCTTTAGGTGAGTGTCCAGTTCAGGACAATGAGCATTCCGGAAGGAGCAGAGGGTTTCATGGTTTCATAGCTGCTTATTGTGCTCAGATTACATGTAACGGGCTAAAGTTGGGTGGTTTCTGCTGAGTACACGATTGGAAAGAATTCACTTAAGGTTATAATAGAATAAAAGGCATTGCCATTAAGAAGGTTCCCTGCGCCCTGACCAGTTTGGCTCAGTGAATAGAGCGTCGGCCTGCGGACTCAAGGGTCCCAGGTTCGATTCCGGTCAAGGGCATGTACCTTGGTTGCAGGCACATCCCCAGTGGGGAGTGTGCAGGAGGCAGCTGACCGATGTTTCTCTCTCACCGATGTT